CTATTAAGTTCAACCTCTTCTACATTATTTCAAGCAGTTTGTTTCCTATATAATCTACCAACGCATCCAGGAACACACCCGAAAACACAGGACTTTCTCTCTCTCAAACACACACACTCTCTCTCACACACATAAGAACACAGTCAGACGGTTAGCCATGGTGATCAAGCTAGAGAAAACCCTATCAAGCGACATGAATGCAAGAATCATAGGTTCAGGAAAAGAAACTCTGGTTTTAGCTCATGGCTATGGCGGAGACCAGTCTGTTTGGGACAAGGTTCTTCCTGGACTGAGTCAGACTTACCAAGTTGTTGTTTTCGACTGGAGTTTCTCCGGCGCCATTAAAGATCCAAACACCCTCTTTGATCCTGCCATATACTGCTGTTATGATGCTTTTTCTGATGACCTGACTGCCCTTCTTGAAGAGTTGAACTTAGATTCGACGGTGTTTGTCGGCCACTCCATGTCTGGCATGATTGGATGCATTGCTTCCATAAAAAAGCCTCATCTCTTCAAAAGGCTCATCCTTATTGGATCGTCTCCAAGGTATCTCCATATTACAAAATTACAAATAATTTTGTGTATCAGTTTTTGGGAAATCATTTTATAAACGAAGTATAAAATATGTTAAATTGAGCAGAATCTCGTTAGGTAAAAAGACTTTGGTTAGTTAAGATGACCCGAGTGTGCAGCAAACTCTTCGGATTGATTTTGGTCTAACTAAAAACAAAACAAAACCAAGCCATTTCAGTTTAATTTTAACTAAAAAAACCATTTGAATTTGTATTTTCGTTTTTGGTTTCAGATAGTTGGAATTTTTTTTTTTTGGTTACTTCTTTTCAATAAAAAAGTGTAATTTTCATTTCGGCTCTTAAAAATGGTTCTATTTTTCAGCATTTTTTTTCTTTACCTCCTCAATTAATCTTGTTTTTTGGCCTTTAAATTAACAAGTTTATGACTTTCATTCTACATGATGTAACACTTTTTATTTCGAAATTGTATGTTAAAAATTGCAATCGTAAGTTCAATTGTTACTTATTTATCTACTATTTCTTTTAATAATTTTTCTGTTAGGTTGTTTTCATAATATATTTTGCAATTGTATTTTGTAAGATTAATTTTGAATGTATTACATAGCCAGGTGAACGGATAACAAACTACATCACTAACCCTTTTCAAATTATGAAACTAATCTTAAAAAACCGCTTCCATTTTACAAATTTTGTTATTCAAATATTATAACATTAACTTGGATTCATAATATTTCCTTTTTATCTTGTGAAATCTATTTCACAAATTTTGTAACCACATGATTATTTTCTGAACTATCATATTGTTAAATAAGAGTACAATCCACACACACACACACACACATATATAT